ACACATATATATATATATATATATATATATATATATATATATATATATATATGTGTGTGTGTGTGTGTGTGTGTGTGTATACACGTTTGTTTGTTTATTGATTCATCATTGTGATGTACTTTACTCAGCAAAGTAGTGCCATAAGAAACATAAACACCCTATTACGATGTTCACGTTTTAATTAAATACGTATAAATCTTTTTCAGTGCAGAATAATATTCCCAGCAAGTCTTCTGATTGAATTAATCTGCCCCCCCTCCCCTCCAATCATCAGCGGCTATGTAAAGGTCAGATGCACTAATGCCTTATCAGTAATTCGCCAATGCTAGTTATTAAGGCTAGCTGGGGGGGAGGGGAGGTTAAGGTGGATTTGTTGCCTGCGGACATGTTAAACATGACCCACACAGGGGCTGCACTGGGGCTCGCCAGCCGCGCATCCGGCGCAGTAATCAGCTGGGGAGAGCCTTTAATAAAATTTGAATGACTCCCAGAGCTTCCCCTAGGATTCTCCCCCTGACCACATTGGAAATAATAACTGCCCCCACCCCCAACCTAACCCCCACGCACTTACCGCCGAGGGGGACGACAATCGGCGTCTCGTCGAGCGGCCGCGGAAACCCCGGTCTTCTCGGGGCCAGTGGAGGGGCTTCCGGGCGTAAACGTTAACGGTGGCCGGTCCCTAAAGGGCTATCCCGCCCGAAGGTGGGCGCCAGCTTTTCGGCGTGGGGTCTGCCGGGGAAAGGGGCTGAGGTGGGGGAGGGCTTGGGCTCAATCTGCCCCCGCGCGTTCCCTTTTTGAAGGGGAGTTCCCCCTGATTAGCCACACTTTTGCTTGGGGTGCAGTCTCCCCAGGGCGGACGCAGGTTTTAAGTCCATCAGAGGGGTCTCAGCTGCCAGTGTGTCGATGAATTACACACTATAAAAAGGTGTTGACAGGAGCAGCTGGACATCGGGGAGTGATAAAAGGGGCAGGAAATTCATTGAGAACTCGGACAGACCGGGGCGCCTGGGGTGCAGCTGGACGGAGGGAAAAGCTGCCATCTGCTGGAGATTCGGTGGTACTGCTTTACTGCGATCCCGGTTGAAGACTTTAACAGCAGCCATACCCGTGTTTGGGAAAAACCCAGAACGGACCATAGTTGTATTTGAGGAATTTTTCCCAAATACACGACTGTGAAATTCCTATTTCAGTGAGACTATAAACACTGATTACACCTGTGATAATTTAATTTACGTCAATAAAACCAGAACAGAGCAATTTGTGGGGACAGCCAGAGCAATGGAGAGAAGGGCCACATCAGCAGGCTGACTCAGGGGGTAGTAATGATGGACTGATCTAGGACTCGTGCTGGATCTACCCAAGAATCATGTTGTCAGTATATGACACAGAAAATGCTGCTACACACACAAAATGTGCAGCACTGAAAACCGTCTCTTGGACTCACCAAGATACCTTCCCCAGGAAAATGAGCACGCACTAGAACAGGCACAACGCACTAGAACAGGCACAACGCACAAGAACGAATGTACACGGGCTCCATTAAATGAATTATAGATGAACGAGCAGACGTGGATTTAACGTTTTAGGGGACTGTCGTTTCCAATGCTGTCCCGAGGTCAGAGAAGGTTCTGCAAGTGTGATTTCTCTATCTGTCCTATTAACGAGTTGCCTGAGGTGCAAATTTAAGCTTAATCGGTGTCACTTAACTAAAACGGTTCTTGAAATAGAGACAAGTCCTCATAATTTTACTGCTCCTTAAAACAGATAATTATAAATGTAAAAACAGTAATGAAGTACCAGCATTATTCTTGTTGGTCTTTAATATATGTTCTTTACTGACTTACCAGTTATCGAATAACAATTACAGGACGGCAGCCATAAATGCTCTAATGCCCTGGTAAGACTGGTGAGACGGATACATGAACGCAGACAGGCTCCATCTTTACAGCACAACGCTCTATGGCGACATCTGTCTAACACTACAGGGAGATCAAATGTCACGCCACGGCGCCTTCACAGCCACGCCACGCTGCTCACGCCAGCTGCAGGAGCGTGCTATGGCCTGCAGGGGGCAGCAGTGAAGGGACAGGCCCGTAAGCGTGTCTGCAAACAAACCTCCGGCCGAGCTGGGAAGCAGGCCTCGGCGCCGCCATCTTTGACACTAGACGGTACTTAATTAGCTTCCATCAGCTAAGCTCTGCTGGGAGAACGGAATGACTGATTAATTAAAGACAGAATTATGCTCCGGTACAGCAACTGATGACACTGAATATATAGCAGAGGCCTGTCTTTATTTATATTTAACCCGCACCGTAGATTTGTACAGCCGTGCTGTAGGGTGTAATATTAATACATGTTCCTATTTACTGCAGCTATCTATGCTTAATTTTAGGAGTCATATCGAACCTAATAAATTAATGTATAATTAATCATACGGCATTAAAATTCCAGACTTAAACACCACATATGATAAGGACAGCGGCTATTCCTTTGTATGAGGGTGGATAAACGAGGATGAAGACGACGTTTTATTTGGCATTGGAAGGATTTTTCTCTGAACAATGTCTCTGAATTAATTTAGGTCAACTTCCACTCTGGGAATGTTAGGGCTTTTCAAAAAATGTGTTATGTAATTTTTTTTTAACTCCGTATTGTTGGAATGACTGATTAAAGTTTCCAGTCCCAGTAAAATATGATTGAACTCGGTCATTTACTTAATGGAGCTGGATTTTCTTCCTGAAACGCCTTATTGTTTCAGCTGGGCGCTTCTCATATTAGCCCATTGGTCAGATGTTGTCACACGTCTCTGAAAAATCTATTTCTATTGGGTGTTGGAAATCCCAACAGCAGCTTGTGTTTTGATTGGCCATATGTAGACCACTGGGCACATAAAGGTCCCTCGTCTCATTGAACCATTGTGGAATCCACCCTCTTGAAGGTACAAAAAATTCATTGGAATATTTTAAATAAATGAATTTCCCCCATGCATCGCCTATCCCTTCATGTGTCATATTTATTTTTATGAATAACATTTTTTTTGCACAGGACTGGTTGCCGTTAATGGTCCAAACTGATGACCCTGTTAGCACTAGGAATGTATTAAATGTGTCAAAACACACAAAGGTTGAAATCAAGGAGCCAGATTTTAATAGTACTTTTACACTATATCAGTTCTGTTTGCCTCCCCGCACATGGCAGTTTTGGTGTCTCCTTAGAGATAAAAGGTCAGTATCACTGACCTTGTTTGACGGCAAACTGGACCAGCCAACAGCCACAGAAATCAAATTAGGAAGGATTTCATTAGAAATACTGTGCTTCTGCATTACCTCCAATCCCACCTCCTTTCTGCAGGCAACCTAATGTTTATTCTTTCTGCTGGGTGCATATTCACAGTGCTGTGAGTGCAGATGTGCAGGTTATCCACCGCAGATTTCGAGGCAGGATGGAGTCGAACGGGAGTCCAGCATGTAAGCGGCGTCCAATCAATCACAGCGACGCAATTAGGTAATAAAAACAGACGTGGAGTCAGCTGATTCTCCTGAAGGTCAAAGTTCATGACTGGCCTCAGGAAGACTGGCAGTGATTGTGAATGAGTCTTTGTCATAAGCATGCAGTGCACATTGCAGTGACATATGGTGTGATGCAAAAGCATGAAGTTCTCAAAGAAAAAGATGTCTAAATGATGTTCATGTTGGCATAAAACTATGATTTTATGTCAAAGTCTGTTACCTGAGACTTTCCGGAACCTCTCCTAAAGTCACCCCGGTATTTGCAGTAACCGTCAAATACAGCCAAGTATTTGTTGACTGAAATTATGTTTGGCTAATTAATATCTCTTCAAATTACTTTAACTAATTAAGTGAGATTATGGTGAAATACATGATAACACATGGAATGGCTGAGGAGAGGTTTGGGAACTGAAGTGGTGTTCATCTAGCCATCCAACTAGATATCAGTAACCTTTTGGAGAACAAAAGAAATGTGTGTTACTTTTCTTTTTGTTTTTCTTAATTTGCACATGTTCTAATGTTAAATTGCGTTTTTTTCTGAGAAAAATACACTTTATACCCAGATAAACAGTTTTAAACATTTTCTGTGATTGCCTAAAACTTTTTCACACAAAGTGGCTGTTTGGAAACTTACAAATTTCAGTTGCTTTTCCAGAAAAAAAGCCTGATGTTTCAGGGTAACAGGATACATGCCCTACCTACACAGAGCTGTTAATCAAACCCCACTCCCACAACCCTGATCCGACGCCGTGGATAAACCTTCCTGATAACATCTCGATTGCTCATGTAGGTACTACCGATAAAGCTGTTCTGGACAAACCTTCCTACAGCAAGGCAGAAATTAATAACCTCTCTCTCCCTTCCGAGTCCCGCAGTTCTTAAGCACTTCTGAGTGCTCTTGTTTACTTAATTGGATTAGTTCTAATAAGTAAACAGAAGGCAATGTAGAGTCATGCCCTAATATAATATGGAAATAAAAGTAGGAAGTTGAAATGGCTAATTTCCTTGTCGGCATATTTAATGACGGAAATCTACTGGGATTAATCGCAGAGGGGCATGGGATAGACCTCGGACTAGGGAGGAAGCCTCGGGCCTTAAATACGTCGTTTGACCATTTAAAGGCAATGTGATTAAGCACTGCGAAGCAGGGCGGGGCCCAGGAGGGGGCACTGTCGTTAATTATTAAAAAGCAAGATGTGCTTATCTCAGCTCCTAAACTCTGCCGCTGTTGTTTACATGCCCGTTAATCCAGATTACATTATTGCTCACCCAGGTCCCTTTTGTACTTTTCTGATTCAATAGTTCTAATTCTAATTCCCGTATCCACCATAGCTGGGAACATTTTATCGATATTCAGTGGTTACGGCTCCCGGTTAATCATCCCACTTCATTTCCCCCACCCATGACAGCGATAAACTTTCCGCTAAATCCACAATAGCGAACACAATAGAAACGCTGCAACCTTTACAAATGGGCATTCCTTTTTTTTGAGGGCTGTCGACGGTGACCTCAAAGTGGGCTAAGCGGTAGGAAAGCCGTGCTTCCCCACTGCAAACCAGCTCCGCTTTACTCAGCCAGCAAATCAACCTGGACGAATCGCAGAAGGAAGACAATCAGATGCCATAGATTCAGCTTCATACGAACTCATCCATTCGCTCAGATTCATGAATATTCACTTATTCTAAACCCACATTAAACCAGGTCCTGATAGCAACATTATTTTTCAATTCCTCTGAATTACGGCCTGAATTGATAGAATAATGACCATTCACACAAAATGCCCACAAATCACTCATTCTTTTCACTCCATTCCAAACAAAGACAGCGTTGATTCGGCTTTGGGGCACGAGGCAGGCTGGGCCTTGGGGAACTAAGGACATGGGCGATACTGTAGAACTTTTGATCATAATAAACAGTCCATGAAAAAGTTAATTGTGAAAGTCATTGGAAATTGCACCCTAATTACTACATTTCATGTTTCATTTAAATCTCTCATCAAGCCCCTCACCTCAAACGTGTATCAATCTATCGTGCCGAGTGCAGCGACTCCACTCGGGTCCTGAAGGGCTTTCGGATGGCCACGAGGTTCTCCGGATGAGAAAGGTAATCTAAATTGGTTCACTCAAGGCTACGATTAGGTGAATCGGCCAGTATGGTGGTCTCAGCTAATAGAAGCCTGCAGACGTCCTATTTCTTCAGTAGATGGCTGTTTTTTTCTGTCACAAGAAATCACAGTTTGGAAACAGCTATTTGGCAGGAAACGCTGGCGTTTTCAGAGGTGTTGCACTATTCCGGGGCCTGCTGTGGATATTGATCATACTGACACACTCTTACGTGGAAACAGATGTAGAGATGGCTGATAATGTTGCTTTTAAGAATATATGTCAACAGTCTGAATATTTCATGGGGATGTGAATAGACAAAGATTCCGAAAGGAACGC